ACCACCGGCGCAACCGCAACAACAAGCCCCGTGTTGGACAGGCCAGGCAATGATGTTGCCCCAGACACCCCTTTGACGTCTGCGTCCCATCAACCGACTTCCTCGACACCCTTGCGCAAGCCTGCATCCATCAGCACTTGCCAGGAAGCGGATGAATGGGCGAAGCGCTTTCACATGAAGAGCAGCGCAACTGTCAAATGCTCATCCTTTGCATTGGCGTGGTGGGCAGCAAAGACGCTGGCAGCCTTTCAAGGCTGCCTTGGGTTGGTTCGCAAGTGCAACCAGTTGCATGGTCTAACTGGATTGCAGAGCTCCGGAGGACTGTGGAAGCTGCCAGGGGGTGGAACGGAGCGCAGCTGGGATGCTGCCGTTGACAAGATTGGGGCAAAGGGGACAAATGAAAGCGTGCCTAGACTTGCAGACCTGCCGCAATGCCAGGACAAGATCTTGGCTCATGATAGCAATGCGCAGATGAGAGCATTCCCGTTCCTGAGGATGCTCTTTCTGTGCAGGCGGGAGCACGAGTTTGCAGTGAGAGACAAGGGCGCCTCCTTTGACATTCTCTACCCGAGCATCGGACGGGCGTCACTGTCCTCCTCCTCCTCCAGGCAAACGGCCCCGCTGGCAAAGCTCCTTGAATTGCCCGCGTTCATGGTCCATGCTTGTCTGGGCATGCTGCAGCGCATCCAGTGGGACCTACTCAATCAAGAGAGGGATTGGGCACTGCGCTTTGAGGAAGAGACCACAACGGTCGAGCTCACGGTCGACATTCGTAGCAAGCGCATCTACTCGGTAGAGGACAAGGATCAGCCCTGTCAAGGCTGTATTGCAAAGCAAAAGACTTGCTTGCGGCCTACAAAAGATTTCCCCTTGCTGTACGCTGGTTATCAATGCCTAGAGTGCCACATAAGCAAGCGACCATGCACGACCACTTCAGCAGACGGAACACTTTTTCAGTCAACAAATCAGGAGTTTAAAAACGGCAAGCCCATTGTCATGTTGTGAGCAGAGAGTGCGCGCGTGTGTCTGCGCGTTATCAACCTTGCTTCTGACATCTTGCTTGGAGTGCAAACGAGTACAGAAATTTGTGCAACAAGCTTGGGAAGACAGCAGACGAGCTGAGGGACGTGAAGGCTGCAAATGCTGGTGCAGAGGAGGCTTCCAGGCAAGAGCTAGCCAAGGTGGCACTTTGTCAACACAAGTTGGCAGCACTGATCAATGTCAATAGAGAGAGGATTGTTGCGGGGCTACTGTTGCAGCAGAGTACAACTTGACAGTGGCAACAACAAGATCTCCTGCAAAGCGGCGCTACATTGGTGCCAATTGTGCCAAGTCGCAAGGAGACAGTTGTCTCAACTTGGAGGGATAGTAGGCTACCAAAGACTGGGCACGGGCAAAAAGGCTTGTCATTTGGACGTAGTGGGGAGCTCCAGAGATTGTGCGTGGATGGACGCTGGTACTGCTGGACTCTGAATGGTGCGCCTGTCTCGAATGCGCAAGGTACCAAAAGCGACAAATTTGTCTTCCTCTCCTAGATCCCACTGGGTCGTACAAAGAAGACGGTTGGCAAGATGGATCCATGTTGTCTTGGAGATCATATACCATCTGTCAATGCAATGCGCAAGGCACAAGCAACACAGAGGCTCCCCAAGCCCAAGACTCAGTGCATCGTCCAGAGAGATACTGCTGACTTCTCGAGTCTCCGAGTCACCTTGTTTGAGACAATGCGCAAGGATCTGAAGCTCATGGATGTTGTCTGGCGCTCCTGAGGCATTGCGCAGGAGAGCAAGGTAGACCTTCTGGACCGTTGCAGTCATGCTCCCCTCCAAATCCAGTTGATGAATCCTGCCTTCTCGAGCATGAAGATCGAGATGATGATGCCCGTCTTGTCCCTGCACGTCAAACCAGTAGTGACCGTTGGCAAGGATTGGCAGCGGTCCATTGACCAGCTCATCAAGATGTGGTGGAGGCGGCACATCATCAAGAGTTGCAATGATGGCTGCAGCAGCAATCATTTGACCAATTGCTGCCTGATGCTGGCCAGATGCATCAGAGCCCAACGGCACCTGATTGGACAGAGTGCTGACCAGAGGAACGTGATCCTTGAGCACACCAAAAGCATGCAGTGGGTCAGGACCCAGAGGAAAGTGACGCAGGAGATAGATGTCTGGCAGCGTGTCCATCTTGTCAGCTCTGGAGAGATTCTGCGAAGGGAAAAGAAAAGCAGGATGTAGCTCAGAATGCACAGAGGTGTCAAGCCTCTGGATCAGCTTCAGAGTGCGCAGATGGCAGCGCTCTCCAATGGTGCAGAGGCAGACCCTGTCTCCACCTGCTGCCACTGCTTGTTGCAGCTCTCTTGGCCTGGCGTAATCAGGGTTTAGCACAGTGACTTCCAAACCCAAGGCCTTGAGAACGCAAGCCTTAAGCTCTGCTGCCTGCTTTGGATTTGTGACATCTGCTAGCAGGATGAGAGAGACAGGGCTGATGTGCGGCACAGGGGGCAAGGTGATGCTGTTAAAGGGGAACTTTGTCATCGCCTCTTCCTCCTGCCAACCCTTGCCATGTCTTGCTGACAACTGGTCTGCTCCTTGGGTGTTGGCAAGCAGGTACTTGCCACATGCCTCGATGCAGAACCCTTCCACGGTGACCAAGTTACGGGAATTGGCATTGGGGATGTAGGCCGAGAGGCGCAGCGACTTTCCACCTTGCGCAAGCACAGAGCAGGGACGTGAGCAAAGGCAAAGACCTACTTGCACAACACCGTCTCTCACATGACCGTTCTCCTTGCAAGCCTCAAGATGGCTCACCATCTTGGCCACTCTGGCCAGAGCTGTGCCTCTCCTTACCCTGTTACCCCTTTTTTCTGCCCAAACTTCTTCACGTAGGTCTTGCAAAGCTTGACCAGCTTGTCCACTTTGATCCAGCCAAGCATCTGTTGCGGGTGTAGAGGGACAACATGAGTATGATTAGAGATGTGTGCATGCACACGTGCGCAAGTTACCCTGATGTAGACGCTGCCTCTTGTAGTTGCAGGGTCAAGATAAACGTCTGAGAAATGCTGTCCCAGCCTCTCCTGGACAGAGATGGAGCGTTGCGGATTGTCAGGTCTGACCAGGTCAACATAAGGTTTGGCAGAGGCAGTTCAGCTGCGCTTTGAAAGCGCTCGCGCTTAGGCTGAGATACTCCTAAAATCAGCAACCAAGCAGTTCTGATTGACGTTGCTCGCTTTGCGCGGCGCACAGCACGCCTGCACTGCTGAGAATCTCGCTTCCAAGGTGAACGGGAGATATGACATGTTGCGTTGATCAGATGATACACTGAGTGGGGCTGCACAAGCTGATGTGCGTGATGGTATGCTTCTACGCTGCTGAGAATCCGCTTGCAAGGTGATAATAATGGTGATATATTGCGTTGAGGGACATGATGCACTTGGTGGAATTGTTTGTCTTGGTCAATTGCCTTCCTCGCTGCGCAAACCTAGCTAGCAAACCCTTTGTTGACCTCAAAAGCTCCATCAGCTTTGCTTCTGGTGTCAGCGTAAGGGTCCTGGTTGAATGTCTCCACCACTTTGATCACTTGCAGAGTGTTTATGAGATGCATCCAGCGCATCAACAATCTCAAATCTTTTAGCATTGTGAACAGGGCCTTGGTGGTCCTTGTTGCCCTTGTGATTGAGCTTTTGCAGCTGAGACACAGCAGCATCATGCTCACTCTCGGCAGCAACCAACAGGTAAGCAGCTTCTGAGCCAATGACCATGCTTGTGTCCTGTGCAAGGTGACTGATCAGCTTGTCCACACTATGCTTGAGTTTGACAGCTGCTTTGAGAGCCTTGGCCTTATGATAGAGTTTCTCTGCTGGCACTAGGGCATCCCATCTACCTTGCACAAGCTGGAGTGAAAGCAGACATGACAGCATCAGAGCAGGTAGATGCAAGTAGGTGGACTTTGCTAGGTGACAGTCACTCACGTCCACTCTACATGAAGCTCCATTGCACACTGATGAAGGGGCCTCTGAGCTTGCAAGGGCCTTGGCTGGATGTCCAGGGTCAGAGGAGGAGCAACAAGGGTGCAAGCAATACCATTCTCCGAGCAGCAATGGTACCTGCTCTACTCTCTGCTCTCTCTGGATGCACAGCGCTACCCAACCTCTCTTCTGGCTCACATCTGGGGAGCTGCTCATGCAGCAGTGGCTGAAGTAGGCGCAGTGGACGCTTGGTTCAAGGAGCGCAATTCAAAGACGGAGAGGAACGTCAAGATTTGCAAATTGGGTCGAGCACATGCCCAAGATGAGCGCCTAGCGTGGCAACATTCAATGGAAGAAGAGACAGCCTTGGCAACGCTGAAGGAGAAGGTCGCGGAGCTCGAGAAAGCCATCAAGGCGAGCGGGGTCATTCATTGAGTTTGGCAAAGTTGTTGGCCTACAACGTGACTGTTGCTGTGGTCAGAGAGACTCCTACTGCTTGCAACGGAGGCTCATGCAGGAAACGGATGTAATCGCTTTTTTCCACGGAGACCTTTGGCCGGTAGAGCTCATGTCAGCTTGTCAGGTGAGCAGCGCACCAGCGATGCAGCGCGGAAGCACGATGCGTGCGAAATGGATCGCTTAGCTTAGCCACTCGTGAGAGATCATCTTCTTGCGCGTCCTGTGGCATCACTTTGCCCGGCGACAGAGAGCAGCAAGTGCGCTGACGCTGACGCTCACGTTCACGTCACCAGACTGCCGGTCATGCAGACGCGTTTCGAAATGATTACAGTCTGAATGCCTTGGCATGTTTGCATCGGTGCATGCGGTGCTGACATTCTGCACGCATAGAGCGTAGCACTGCCCACAGAGAGGCTTCAATAACATGCGCCGGCGGACACGTCTCGCTGATGAAAGGCACGGCTTGGCGCACGGTCATTGGTGATTGTCGAAGCACCATTTCTGACCCGACGAGACGCGGGGACAAAAGGTCATGTCTGGACATCGCGCGCTGCATTCGACGACTCCAATAGATGCGAGACAAGCACGTTACAATCACAATGACGTCTCACATTACAGCAAAGAATCGCGCAGTACCTCTACACCCTCTGGAATGCCATCCAAACGATCCTCTCCGACGGCCCATACACTGCGATTTGAGAGCGCGGACATGTCAGCTCGCGTTGCATCGCATCGCACCATCACATCCCATCCATCCGCTCACCCATCTACGCCCAGATCAAAGTTGAACGTTTGACCTCGCTGAGATCCGCGTGCAGGCGCTGAAGCGTCTTGGCTGCCGGATCGAGGCGCGCGCAGAGCGCTGGGAGCAGCAGCAGGAGCCGTGTCCTTGTCCACCTGCTGAGCTGCTTCTTCAGGCCGACCTGCTTGACCTTTGCGAGGTTCCGAAGTGTAGCCGGGGCTTGAAAGGGTTGCAGAGATGCCAATGGTGCGCACCTTTTCTCGCATCATTTCCATCTGGGAGGATGCGACTGTGCCCGCGTTGAGCAGGACAAAGTCGGCAAAGGGAATCTGCGAGCGCGGGTGAGGAGCGGAAAAGTGAGCGCGTGCTTGAGCGTGTGAGTGTGCGCTCGCACTCGCGCCAAAGCATCGCTTGCCCCGCCCCGCCCCGCCCCTCCTCGCCCCGCCCCGACTCACCACTACGTCCTGCCATTCGCTGCCCTTTGAGTGATCGAGCCAGAGACGATGTTGAAAGAGGTCGCTGGTGACGGGACCATCGGTTTGAATGTTGACGAAATACTTTGGGCCTGGCGTATCTGAGGAGCCGAGACCGGAGCCGATGGCGTGAAGGGCACGCAGATCGAGCTGCTGCTCATCGTGATGGCGCGTGGCAGCCTTGACTCGAGCTTGGGCAGTGTGCAGTGCTGATGCCAGCGAGGGCGTATCGGATGGCGAGTGGGGGGATGCCAGCCTGTTGCGCACGCGCAAGAGAAGGTAAGGATGCAGCGTAGTGTCCCACGTCTGATTGCCAAAGATGGTCGGTCGGTTCTGCAAAGGCGGCGGCGTTGAGCATGAGCTATGAGTGCACGCGCGCGGACACACGCACACGCCACGCCACGCACCTTGTTGCGAAAGGCGGCATAACCACTGCGCTGGATCTGAGCCTTGCGGGGCAGTTCGGAAGAGAGGGTACCGTAGAAGCGACCTCTGCCATCATCCGCATCATCGTAAGCCAAGTTGCAGCTGCTGAGTCCACCGACATCCTTGTCGCATCCGATGACAAAGTCCCTCACGTTGCCTCGTTGGCTGCTGATGCTCCACAGCGGGTAAGCGCCTTGCGATCTGGCCGACGGCACCACCTCCATCCTCGCTGCTGTGCGCGTCGCTTGTACAGCCACATCCATGCTGCGAGCCAGCGCGTCCCTCAATGCTCCAAAGTAGGACATGGTGAGGGCTGGGGAGAAGGTGGGGATTGGAGTGAGCGAGCGAGCGGTGGCGGGTAACAGAGAGTTGGTGGGTGGTTGGCAAGCCATGCATGCCCTCTCTGTGCATCCACTCTATCTGATTCGAGCAGCAGCGAAGTGGAGCTGATCGAGCATGCACGCGTCACGTGTGCAGCGAGGGAGAGCGGGCGTGCGCGTGCTCGCGCGCCTCTGCGTTCGCGGCTGCTGCTGCATTCGTTTCCAATTTCGCTGCGTCCCAAATGGTGCGCTACAGTCACCACACCACACCACACCACACCACACCACACTTCCAGCATCCATCCATCGAGGGGCAGCGCCAGAGATGGCGACAGCGACTGCGTCCCCACCCCATACACGGTCTACGAGACGCTGCAATGACGCTGGCATCCTCATCCTCACCGCAAGGAGATCTGGCCGCAGACATCCTCCTCGCCACGTCAGAGTCCTTCATCCTCCAAGCCCCGCGCAATCCGTCCAGCGATGTTCCAAACACTTTTTTTGACCGCAGCGATACATTGGCACAGCGGCTGAGCAATCCGAGAGCAAAATTGCAGCGCATATACTCGGGCAGAGAGGAGCAGGAGGAGGGGAGGCAGGAGCGCGAGCGCGAGCGCGAGCGCGAGCACCAGCACGAGCACGAGCACGACGATCATCTGCCCTCCTCTCGACTCAGGCTCGCTCCATCCGTGCTCGATCTGCACGCCCCTGGAGGTTCGTCCCGCTCACCCACGCCTGTTCAAGTCATACGCGCAGATGGCAGCGCCACGCCAATCACCAGCGCCACACCATGGTCCAGCGCATCCTTATCGAGTCCATGGAGCTCGGAAGCGACGACGCATGGCATGGAAAGCGTCGCCAGCCCGGGTCTATTGGCCGCGCGCGCGCTCTTGGCGCTACCTCGGCCAGGCCGTGTGTCACATGACGGCGCTTGGCACAACGATGTGGATATCGCGAGCCACGGGACGCTGGTCAGGGACGCAGCTCCGCCCGAATGGTTCGCACACAGCTTTCCAGAGCTGGATCGCTTGCAGGTGGACAGGGCCGACGAGCCGCAGATGGATGAGACACAAGTCGGCTCCTCTTCGCGGCAAGACTCGACTTCTCCCCGGACGGATGAGACGCAAGCCGGCTCGTCTGCGCGGCAAAATTCGAGCGCTCCGCAGGTTCGCCTCGCACAAGCAACAGACTCGCCTTTTGTGCCAACGCTTCGCTCTGCTGCTGCTGCTCCTGTCGCGCCCCAGCTGAGCCGGACGACATCTTCCACCGTGCGACTTTACGGCAATGCTCGGGCAGCCAGGTCTGCGACAGGCGACGTGACCAGGGAAAATATCGACGACCGCGACGACGATGACGACCACGTCAGCTGGGTCATGTCAGAGGACGACGTCGGCGACGGCAGCAATGCGAGCAGCCTAGCATCCTTGGCGCCTACCAGCACACGCACGCAAGGCGATGCGAGCAGCTTGGCGTCCTCGGCACCCACCGGCACACGCTCGCATAGCGAAGAGTCGCACCATCGCGCACGCGGGAGATGCTTTGCGAGGGATGTTCACGTGGCCGGCTGGAGGACCGTCGGAAGCAGAGCGAGGGGTCACGTCATTTACAAGGTGCGCATCGAGACGCACGCCGGCACGTCGTTGACCATTTTCAGGCGCTTTTCAGCATTTGTCGCGCTGCGCAGTCAGTTGATCGAGGCTTTGCCTGTGAGTGTAGTAGCAGCATGCGGCGCGGCAACGCCTTCGGACGAGATGCTGATGTGCTGCGAGCACTCGCCTCAGCAACACGCGCAAGCGCTGCCATCGCTGCCATCACGAGGCAGCGGTATCCTACACAAGTACGGAGCGCAACACCTCGAGGAGCGGCGCGTAGGCCTACAACATTGGCTCACAGCTGTTCTGCTCGACTCAATGTGGGGAAACGTGGAGGCCGCTCGGGAGTGGTGTATTGACTGAGGCGCGTGCGCGTGCGCGTGTAATGTAATTGTATGCATTCGCGATTGCGATACTATTCGCTTTCCTCTTCGCTTTCCTCTTCGTCATCCTCGACAATGTACCTGACGATGCCTTCTGCTTTCTTGCGAAGGTCGAGCGCCGCCTCGCCTCCTGCGCGCGAGATGGGTGATTTCCACCACTCGACGATGGCGTCTGGCGAGACTACATCATCGTTGTACATCTTTTTCAGCAGAGGGATGAACAAGCAGCTGTAGCTGGACTGTGTCGCGCAGTACTCCTGGACCATGGAAAAAGGGGAGAGGCGTCAGCGGTGGTAGCGCGCGGGTGGAGGAGGCAGCTTCACACGCACCTGAAAGAAACCAATCGCTTCCACCTCGTCGTCCTCCGCAATGCTCTGTATCAGCTTGCCCCACTTGTCAAACACTGCAGCGGTCCACTTTGGATTGTTGGGATCGCATCGCTCCAAGACGACTGCGATGGCCGTTCTTCTGACTTGGCTCAGAGGCACATTGCTAGCCATCCTCAGCGTCTTGAGCTCCACGCTGGCATTCTCGACCGAGTGGCCCTCGGCAAAGGCTCTGGCGAGCGAGGCGCGGGCCTCAGAGTCAAACTCTTCCAAGCGCTCTCGAGCTGCCTGCCTGTCTGCTGCCGTCGTCGCCTCTTCACCCTCGCCGCCCAGCGTCAAGGAAGCAGCCGCAGCATCATCCAAGCTGCTGCTGCTCAAAGTCTCCGAATCGCCCTCCCACTCATCCAGCAGCTCCGAGTCTCCGCCGATGGAGGAAATGTCCGAATCCTCCTCCTCCTCCTCCTCACCCTCGTGCCGCTTGCCTTTCTGCAGCAGATCGATTCCGAGCACACCGATGTGGTCACGCAGAGGTGCGTCCACATCATCGTCATCCTCGTCCGCCTCTTCCCCTTCGGCAATCTCGTCCGTGGTGCTCTCACCAGCAGCTGGCCACCTATAACCAAAGGCCTGGCTTCCGAGATCCGCATCTGGCGCGCGATCCTCCACATCCTCTTCCAAGTCCTCCACTTCAAGCGCATTGGCTCTGGAGCGCGCTCCAACGCGAGTGAATGGGGCGAGCGAAATGCCGGGTCCTACAGTGACGTCTGGGCCAATGATGCATCCTCTAGCCAGCTTGCAATCGTCCAGAATTTGCGCTCCAGTGCCGATGATGCAGTGATCCATCTCGCAGCGAGAGCCTATGCGCACCCCATCCCACAAGTGGCTGTGGGAGATGGTGGATGACGAAGCAATGTCTACGTGCGAGCCTACAGCGGTGCAATCGAGCACGACGCCCTGAGCAATGCTGGACTGCGCACCTATCACCACATTTCGACCCAGTCGCGCATCTCTGTGATGTGGAGCAGCGCGCAGGCGTCAGCAATGCCATATCTGGAATAGGAGGGGGAGGGGGGAAGGGGGGCTGCCGCGCTGCAGCTCACCTGGCCACGCTGACATCCGTCCCGATGAATGCCGTTCCGCGCAGAGCGTATGGCTCTCCAGGCCAGGACGCGTTGCCAGGTCGAAGTGGCTGAGCAGCGCCGCTGATGAGATCGCAGATGACTGCGTGGTATTGGCGCGTGCAGTCGATCTGCGCACCGTAACCGCTCGCCGAGGTGGTGGAGGAGCCGGAGGGGTGGACGCTGGTGGAGGGCGAGATGTGCAGGAAGATTTTGGTGTCCAACAGATCGGAGGTGAGGATGCCCGGCACAAAGTCGTGTCGCAAGGATTGATAATCAAAGTTTTCGGAAAAGAGGGCTGGGATCTGCAGCGCGAGGATGAAGAGGGGTGAGCGGAGTGAGCGCGCGCGCGCGAGACGGCATGAGTGGGAGAGAGAGAGAGAGACAAAGCGCGCGCGCGCGACGCACCTCTGGACCGCAAACATCGATGCCGATTTCGACCAGATCGGAGCGAATGATGAATTCTCCGTGATCTCGATCTTCCTGAGCCATCAGCACTTCAGTTGGGATGCGAGTCGTTGGGGAAGATGAGAGGGAGAAAGCGGGTGGATCGTAGTGCAGTAGGCGATCGCAAGAGCTGAGCGTATGCACTGCGGCGTGCGGTGGTCTGGTGCGGTGGGGAAGAAGAAGAAGAAGAGAGAGAGGGGGGAGGTGAGGCGGTGTGCCATGCCGGCTGAATCGCACTCGAGCGCGCGCACACCCTCGACACACCCGCGCGCACACCCTCGACACACCCGCGATATACACCCGCGCGCACACCCGCGACACATCCGCGACACACCCACCTGATCCTGCTAGCGTGACCCACTTGAGCAGCGCAGATGGTCATGCTGGCATCCTTGTCCCGCTTCCTCCTCTGCCTGTGCATCTCCACCACCGATTGCAGGTGGATGGATGTGAGTGCGTGGGGTTGGAGGAGCAGGAAATCGCTCCTGACGATGCCGTGCGCATCCACCTCCCTCATCACATCGCCCACGCTGCCGGCAGCCGGTGCGGCTACGACGTGGACTTGCAGGCCTGTGGGTGGTGGATGTTGTTGCAGCCAGCGTCGAAGGGTGTTGGCATGAGCGCGAGAGATGATGTGCACCTGCTCCGCACCTGCCTTGTGAATGCTTGCCAGGTGCAGCTTGAGCAGCGGCACGCCCAATACGGGAAGCAGCAAGGGACAAGCAGGTCGATGATGGGACCGAGACACTTCCAAAGGCGAGTAGGCGCGGGAGAAGGTGTCTGCGATGAGGATGGCGCTTAGAGGTTCCTCTTGAGCTCCTTCGCGATCTCCTCCTCCTCCTCCTCCTCCCGACTGCGCCTGCCCCTGCGACTTTGTCTTTGTCTTCTTTGGCGGCATGCTGGGTTGGCGCCTCCTCTGGGATGGGGTACGGGTTGGGTGTGAAGGGGCAAAAGGAAAGGGAGGCGCTAACTGCAGCGAATCGCGAATCGCATCGAGTTTGAGTGTTTCATGGAAATCTTAATGCATGCAAGGCTTATGGGGTGCGGTGCGGTGCGGTGCACGCAGGCAGGCAGGCAGGCAGGCAGGCAGGCCTATTCACGTGACTGTCCATTTCGCGCGAGAAATCTCACGACGGCCACTGCACTCGCACGCACGCACGCACGCACGCGCACGCACGCATTGCGGGCAGTCAATCAAGAATCAATCAATCAATCAACGACGCGCTTCTCACGCGCGTCGCGAGGAAGCCCGCGGCGCAGGCAGGGCTGCAGAATCATCACATTCGACACTCACGACTCTGCGTCACCAGTCCGAGTCGAGTGGCCAAGCCAACTCTCGCCCATCATCATCATCGCCGCCGCCACCACCATCACCACGACGCTCATATCCCTTCAAACTTCCAAGCAGTGGCCACCTTTGCATCTCCTTCCTCAACATCACACGGACCCATCATGCCTTCTGCCGCACAAGCGTCCACATCGGCCTCTGCCTCCGCCTCCGCCTCGAAGCGGGCCAGGTACGATCCGGAACAGTCGGCTCAGGAGAAGCGTCACGTCAGAAAGGTGTACAGGGATCTCATCAGCGCCACAGAAGGTCAGTCTGCGTCTCCCACATCAGATCCAACGCAATGCCCGATTGACACTTTGCATACATGCTCTTCCCTCCCCCCGGCACGCACACACAAACACAGTGAAGCGCACAAAGATAGCAGAAGCCAGCGCCAAGGATCTCTCCAGTCTCGTCCTGCAAGGCAACGAGGCGTACGCCAATGGTGAGTGGTGTCACGCTGCTGCTGCTACTGCTACTGCCAAAACAAACGCCGACCGTCTCTTTTCCCCCCCACGGCAGTTCGAGCACCCACAGAAGGAGTGCTAGACTCTCGCTTTCTTTTGAACGCGTCCGAAATGGGAGCACAAATGGCCAAAAACATCAAGATGGCTTCGGGCGCATTCGACACGGAAGAGTACCTCGCACGCGTGGTCAAGTTTATCGCTGGCAGTGCGCGTGCCAGGCGTGCCGCTTCCGCTGAAAGCGATGCGCGAAGCGATGACCACGAGGAGGAGGAGGATGTGCATGCGTGGCATTGGGATAGATTGGGTCAACTGGCTGCCAGATACTCCAGGAGAGCACCCACGCTCGATTTTCTGTGAGTCTCGACGGGGACAGGCGTGCTGGATGCCCCTACCTCCAGGCTAAATCGAGATAGAGCGCGCGCGCAGACTCGGTCCATTGGAGACCTCGCAAAAGGAGCGCAAGGGGATGAAGAGGGCTCGCATCGACAAGTCTGGCCCCATGGTCGCTCCACAAGAGGTGAGTGGCATGAAGCGCAGCTTCGGCCAACTATCTGCTTACACGCAGGCTCACGCTCACGCACACGCACACGCACATGCACACGCACACGCACACGCACACGCACACGCACACCCCAGCTCAAGGAGTCTGACATTCAACAATCCGAGACAGAGACTACGCGCATGGTGCGAGAAGTTGCAGACGTTTTGGAGCAGGTAGGCGGTGCGCCCGGATGTCACCTGTTCAGATTCGTGCTGGATCCAAAGAGTTTCAGCAATTCGGTCGAGAATTTGTTCTACGTCAGCTTTCTCATACGCGACGGCAAGGCGTCGCTGGAGGATGATGAAGAGACGGGGGAGCCGATTTTGAGTGAGTGAGCGAGCGGGCGGGCGAGCAGTCCGCTTTCATACCCCGAGCGAGCGAGCAGTCCGCGTCGTACACCGAGCGCCATGCATCCGCTTCGTATTCCTCGCCTCGCGCACACAGTCAGCTGACAATGTTGCTCCATCCCTGCAGTGGCTGTGGACGAGCCTACAGAGGAAGACTACGCGCAGGGACTGACTCGCAGACAATTGGTGTTGGAGCTGACCATGCCAGTGTGGGAGGAATTGATCCAATTGTACGACATCAAAGAGTCTATCATTCCCACGCGAAAAGAAACGACGACAGCGTTGCGACCTGGCGGGTGGTACGCATAGGCGTGCGTGCGCGCGCGCGTCTCGATTCCCATCAAGCCTTGAGCATGTCGTGGCCTGACATGGCGGGTTGCCGTGTGAGTGGATGCTTGCTAGCGCGACGCTTGCGCAAAACGACTTACCCCAATTTGCCAGGCTCTTGTAGGATTTCGTCTGTTTCAGCTCGTCTTCTGACTTGCGGTCCTTGAGAGGACCTTCCTCTGTGCGCGCACGACAAGGGAGGGGGAGAGCATGAGCGTCGAGAGCGCCTGTGTCCACACACAACGGGAATCGTCGGGGGGGGCGGCGGCGGCGAGCAAGACTCACGAGCGAGATGCCTCTTGCAGTAAGCAGCGACCTTTCTCATGTGCTGCAGATCCTCTTCCGTATACTTGTCCTCCTGCTTTTTGGGGTTGCGCTTCAAAATGTCCACAATCTTGCGACCAGATTCGTGACCGACGGATTCGCCTTCTCCCGCATCGCCCCAACCGCTCTCTTGCGATTCGGAAGAGGAGAGCCACTCTTCCAGTTCGGGAACGGTCATGTTGACATACTCGTTGAACTCGGAAACGACGTCGGCGTCGGATTTGCCCATCTTGAGGGAGCGTGTGGTGGGCGAGTGTGCGTGTGGGTGTGAGCGCGCGTGTGGGTGTGGGTGCTGCTGCGATATGTATCGGTCCTGATGGTTGCAGAGCGAGAAGTGTGGGTGTGGTGATGGTGCGAGCCAAGGAGCGTCTCGAAGCGGCGAAGGGAGCGAAACATGAACGCGGAGGGGCGCGGGGCGGGGGAATATGATGGCGAGCACGACGACACGGGCGGATGCACGCACGCTCGCTCGCTCAAGGGCCCCACTCGAGACTCATACTTGCGACTCTTCACTCGTTCGTGAATCTCCCACTTGACTCAGTCTGAGTGACTCGCGACTTCCTGCTGCTGCATGGCGCTGCTTTGTCAGCTCGTGCGGGAGGAATCAAGGACCCTTTTCGTGCGTGCAGGCGGGCAGGCGGGCAGGCGGGCATACGCATGCTGCATGCATGCATGCGGAGGCAGCTCCGTGATGGAACGGAAAGGCGCGCGTGACGTCATGGGCGGGGCAGCATACATGTATATGCTACTGTATAGCTGTAGAGCCGATCACGACGCTCCGCAACCCACCAATGAGCGCGCACTCGGGGAGCTGCCTCATCAGCTCGTGAGGCTCGTAACTCGTCACCGTCACGAAACAAAACGATCAACAACGACGCACGCACGCACGCGCACACAGCCAGCCAGCCCCGCTACAGCGATGAAGAACAAGGCAGAGTCCAGCGAATCCGAAGCGAGTCGTAAGCGCGCCCGCTTGCTCGCATCCAGCAGCACGACGACGACGACGACGACGACGACGGACAGGATAAGCCTCTCTAGACCTCATCCGGATGGATCGCATCTCGCTTGGCCCGTTCCGCAGTCGGATCTGGAACGCGCACGAGCATTCATCAAGCGCATGGCTGATTGCGCCATGGCAGAGGATGAGAGAGGGAGAGAGGCTGAGAGGGAGGGAGAGAGGGAGAG